TTGGAACGACTCCCACAGGTATTAAAGTTATCTTGCGAATATCTTAAGAGAAATTCTTTTTATGGTGGAGTGATTTATGAAGATACTTCCTCAGCCCGCTGGCTAGCTCTTCTTCCTACAATGAGGCGACTTATTCGTCAGTGGTAGAGGTTTATATTTTGCTACCGATGCGACTAGTTTATTGTGACCCTCATATTCATTGTGTGGAGGGTTGGGCAAGAGCTATGGCTAAAGAAAAGATCCAGGAACAAGGTGGTAAAGTGTTCAGCTCACAACCGAAGAGACAAAGATTCGATCCTCAGACAATGGGAGACGTATGGAATTAAACGGGCATTGTGAGTCGTCTCCTAGGGAAGAAGATAAGGACCTCAAAGGAAATAGACCACAGTGCTTGGCTTTCCACAAAGCTCTTGATATACCCGTAACCAAGCACCATCAATCTTTTGGGACCTAGTTCTTAGGCCTTTTGTATATACATATGCTCTTGCGCTACTCTCCATGGGATGGATATGGAGCCACTTCGGCGGCAAAATCTAATAATCATTCTAGTATTTAGAATGTGTAGAGAGACAGAAAGTACATTCACTAATGCCACAAAGTTCAGTGAAAACAGTGAAGTGTAGTCACTAGTGCCCCACAGTTCTGTGTAATGGATGAAGTGTAGTGAGTAGCGTCTCTTAGCACCGTGGCCACCAGCCATCCACATAAGACGATCGGAATCCACGACAAGGAACTCAGGAATATTATTGATAGTGGTAAATACACGTTCTTGAACGAAGTTGAGAAAAGGTTATTACTGACTCGTGCATAAAGGTTTCTCAAAAAAGGCCTTAGGAAGAGTAGTAGCATGTCTCTCCCCCCACCCCAATAAAAAAAACAAAGAAAAAACTTGAAGGAAAGTGGTAGAAAGTTTCTTACGCTGATAGAATGGGTTTAACAATTGTGAGATGTTTCTTTATGAAAGAGAATAATGTTATTTTATAAATGTGGTTACCGGCGCCTTTATAAAGACTATTAATTTTTCTAATGGACTCTAATGGCCGCGGGGGCGTTGATCCCCGGAATAACCTCCAGGTAGACTCCGGGTAATATTAAATAAAAGCAGCGGAAGTACCAATAGTAATAATGATAAATATTTAATACGTGTTTTAAGAGCTTTCTCGAATTTGAAAAATTACATATAACAAACTGGTTTGGAAAAATCCGTGAGGAAATATCAATATTGAGTTAAATATGCACAAGCAAACACTTAGGATAATTTGTTATGGAAACTTTTCAATCTTGAGACCTTGTTCACTTCATATCACCAGTGAACAAAGTTCCAAGGTTGAAAGTTTCCATAACATAGTTTCCTAAGTGTGTGCTCATGTGTCTACACATATTGTTGGTATTACATACAGAAGGGCCCCGCTTTACGGCATTTCACTTATACATTTATTCACACTTCCTACAATAAATATATTCACCACTCACTATAAGCTAAGGACGAAAATATTTTAAGTAATGTGCTTACTTTACATGCATTTTTTTTAGGCCTAGTTCTATTGCTCACCTAATATATGATAGTGTAAACATGTTATCAGGCTTTTACATGCATTTGAAAAAAATAATATGTTTCACTTTACAGCGAGTTTCGCTTTACAGCAGTAGTCTGGAACCTAACCTGCTGTATAAGCGGGGCCCTCCTGTATCAGGATGTCACCATAAACTGTCCATGATGACATGGTCTCTCCTATAGAGCAACGGGGGGGTGAGGTAGCTCCAGTTCCTTGGACCAAGAGACCTTCGCATGTATCAAGGCAACCCTCTTGAAGGGTGATGAGGGCACAAACAATTACAGGTCTATAAGTAGTATACAAATCGTTTGTCAATAATTCCTTCCAGCAATCGAAAGTGAAGCTGCTATGATTTTTGAACCTACAGTAAGTTGGGTCGCGCTCCGATGAACACGAATTACGAAAGAAGCTTAATAGGAAATCAAGTGATGAGGAGTGTGAGTGCTGAAACATGAAACCAGTGTGTCGTCAGACCCAGCTGCCGCTGGTTGCTTTAATAATAAAAATAGTTTATTTGGACATGATACATAGTTGTACAAGGAATTATAGTAGTTGTGTGTACATGCCAAAAGCCCCTTGTATGCAGAGCATTATGGGCAGGCTTAAAATTAACTTAAGATTAACTAAGCAATGATTGATTCAGTGGTAAAAATTACAGTAAACAATTTACAATATGAAGTACAATTGAGTGTATTTTAAACAATGAAATTTGAACATTTCAATTATGAAGCATTATAGTTGTACAAATTCGTAGCATTACAATGTATAATATAACAAAATGATCAGTTTACTATAGTGTTGTCATACAATTTATTAATCCGACCAAATCGAATAAAATCAATGATTTGTAGTGCAGAAACAAGTCAAATGGTCATTAGATGAGTTACTGTGCATTCAAGAGAATGGATTATTCTATTAGGTAATGCAATTAAAAACGTAGTTTGATAGGGCCACGTGTTATACATTTATGAAATATACAGTTATTTAATATTTATTGATCTTTGAGCATTTAATTTTTTTTTTTTTTTTTTTTTTTTTTATTCGCCGGTATTCTCCCGGCCCGGGTCTTTTCCAAGTAGTGGTGACCCGGCCTTGGCTCCCTATCTGGGGAGTGTCTCGAGACTTAAGTCTCCCATGGGAGGAGGTACAGTACCTCCTCATCTTTGGGACCAAGTGTCCCCAGGCCTAGCCACATTCCCCGCCCTCACGGGGCTCGTAGGGAGAAGCTAGGCCTCTGGTCTGCCATCTACCCCGCCTCAAATGGGCTCGTGGGGATGGCAGTCTTATGAGCTGCAGATGGTAGCAAGCTCAGGCTTTAGCATTTAATTATGGGGTTCTGAGGCTCGGGGAGTTAAACAGTGTTTAATGATATTTTGAGGCAGTAGAAAGTGATTTGTTAATTTTGTAGGTAGAGTTAAGCACTGTGTGTTTAGTTTTGGGTGAGTAAGTGATTTTTAAGAAGAGTCTTGAATTCTTAGTTATATCGTTGAAAGTGAATCAGTTTCCAATACTGGGGTGGAATGATTAGAGTCAAAAGACAATTGTAGGCCATAGGTGACACAAGCAAGGTGATAATTCTGTGCTTCTGATACATAAACAGAATTGACTACCTCCAAGCCAGAAATGTTCAGGACAACAGCCAAATCAGTTGAGGATTTATCAGTTAAGGATTTGTACATTTAGTTGTCAGCATGAACAATGTGCTTCAGATGTTGTTTTCTTGAAAGCAACAGGACATTCAGTGATATGAATGGACATTAGAAACAAATGCCTCGAGCACAGTTTATGAACCTAGAAGGTAACATCTATGAAAAAGTTTTCCAAAGGTTCCTGGGATGGCAACAGCAACGGCTGAGAGGAGGAAATTGACTAAAATATTTATCAGTTCGTCAATGAAAGATGTTTCAGCGATGGAAAAAGGAAGCAGTATAGCATGTCAGTGTTTCCCAGAGTGCCAACTCGAGCTGCTAGAGGTGATTGTGGAGAAATGATCCTTATCCTGCAGATTATTTACTGCAGTCCTATCCAAGTTTGCAACAACGGAAGACAAAAAATCGAGAGGCCGATAAGCGAATGAGCACAAATCTTCGTCCATTTCCCCGTCGGCGTTACGCCCTCGAACCAGAAAAGAGAAAATACCTCCTGATGTGTGTCTTAAGTCATTTAATTACCAACAACCCGAAGCTTACCAACAGCTTAATGCAACATCAGGTTAAATAAAAAAAACTGTATATCATAACATCATAGTAAAAACAGAAAACAGAAAAAACATTTTACAAAATATGACGAATATTTTTTTGAAGAATCTGTAGTAAAAGTTCATCATTTATTTTGTCTCAGAGAAAAAGCTTTTATTTTTTTAATTACATAATATGACCATAAATTAATAATAGCAATAATAATAGTATAAAAATAATATAGGTTAATACATAAATGGTTGTTTATTTAAAATTGCTTTAATAACTTTAATTATAACTATAATTACAAAACTCAGAATATCAGCTGATACAAAAATAAGCGACAACAGTAAAAATAATATAATTTTTAAACTGGCGAAATTATTAAGACTTCAGAGGATAAATACAGACAATACAATTTAATAAAAAAAAATCAGAGAAGTAAAACAAATAAACTTAAGAAACATTTCTTTAAACAGAACATTTTGTATCAAACGTATGTAAATAAAACAACGAGGGTATATATAGTATATATTTTTTTTTATTAGGCAGAACCTGCGAGTTTGGTTTGTGAAGCAGCGATCGCTTAGCAACATAAAACGAGTGAAAATTTAGTGTCGCAATGTGTCCACGAAAATCAGTCTGAACGTCGCGGAAAAGATATATTACGATGATATTTTATAAACAGTACTGACTTAAATTAACAACTAGCCCTCCATATTTTTTACCATGCTGACGATGGGTTGTTGAGGTGGTTCGCACATTTAGAAAGGATGGAACAAAATGGGATGACTGGGAGAGTGTATAAATCTGTGGAGAGAAGGCGGGGTAGGGGTCGTCCTAGGAAAAATTAGATGTGAAGAGTAAAGCATGTTTTGTATGCCAGAGGCTTGGACATCTAGCAAGCATGTGTGAGCGTGCTATATTGGAGAGGAGACAAGTTTTTTTTTATGACTTGACGTGCTATTGGAGTGTAAGCAAGGTAACATTTATGTAGGGATTCAGGGAAACCGGTTAGCCGGACTTGAGTCCCGGAGGTGGGAAGTACAGTGTCTGCACTCTGAAGGCAGAGTGGGAATATATGCAGTTCTGAACTGTTGTATCGGCGTCCGTATGGCAAGACAGTGATGGAGTGATGGTGAAAATGTTTATTCTTTTTTTAAGGTCACCCTGTCTCGGTTCGTTTACATATATATATATATATATATATATATATATATATATATATATATATATATATATATATATATATATATATATATATATATATATATATATATATATATATATATATATATATATATATATATATATGCAGAACAGCCACTGTGAAAAAAATGCGAAATTCCAAACGCTTTCTTGACTTCTCACATTATCAAGGAACTATAAAAATAAAAGGTTAACAAAAAAGCATATAAGGACAAGACTACACCTCGTTGCCACCCCAACAACACCAGACTTTTTATACTGGTGTAGGTAGGTAGTCAGTGATCCGTGAAACACAGCTTATATTCAACCCAAAAAATTGTCTAATGTATCTTAAATTCTTCCCAAATTTTATTAACTATAAATTAATCCAATTTATATATAAACCAAAAGAAATATTCATATTATTTTCAAAGCTACTTTTTATTAGACATAATTCTATTATATTCCTCTCAACCATGGACTTGCTTGATACAACTTTCTCAACTTTTTGAAAATCAATTGGATGGTTAAAATCTCTCACATGAATAAATAGAGCATTGGAATCTTGTCCAGTTCTAATGCTATATTTATGTTTTAATCTTAGTTCAAGACTTTTCCCAGTTTAACCATAATAAACTTTATCGCAAATTTTACAAGGAATCTTATTGACACATCCGTCAGCATTTTGGGGGGAATTCTTTATCAAAAGTTTTTTTACTGTATTAAGATTTTTAAATACAACTTTGATATTAAAAGTCTTAAGAAGAGAAGGCATATCAACCAAGTTTTCATGGTAAGGGAGAACCAACATATTTTTAGTTGAATAAGGCTGGTTGTCATTTTTAGTTGAATAAGGCTGGTTGTCCCTTTCTGATTGTAAAAAGTATTTCTAGCAATTTTAAAAGAATTATCAACAACGTTTCTTGGGTATTTCAGATCACTAGCTATTTCATAAATTTTGGATATTTCCTCATCCTTGAACTCTGGACTACAAATACATAAAGCGCTCAAAAACATTGATGAGAATACCGACAGTTTAACTCTATCTTTTATTTTCATAGTTCCTTAATAATGGAAGAAGTCACGAAAGCGTTTGGAATTTCCTTATTTTCTTAGGTGGCTGAGGCAGGGTGACCCAAAAAGAAAGAAAATCCCCAAAAAGAAAATACTTTCATCATCATTCAACACTTTCACTTCACTCATACATAATCACTGTCTTTGCACAGGCTCCCAGATACAGTTTAGAAGCATATATAAAGATATATAACATATCCCTCTAAACTGCCAATATCCCAAACCCCTCCTTTAAAGTGCAGGCATTGTACTTCCCATTTCCAGGACTCAAGTCCGACTATATAAAAACAACCGGTTTCCCTGAATCCCTTCACTAAATATTACCCTGCTCACACTCCAACAGCTCGTTAGGTCCCAAATACCATTCGTCTCCATTCACTCCTATCTAACACGCTCATGCACGCTTGCTGCAAGTCCAGACCCCTCACCTACACAACCTCTTTTACCCCCTCCCTCCAACCTTTCCGAAGACGACCCCTACCCCACCTTCCTTCTCCTACAGATTTACACGCTCTCCAAGTCATTCTACTTTGTTCCATTCTCTCTAAATGACCAAACCACCTCAACAAACCCTCTTCAGCCCTCTGACTAATACTTTTATTAGCTCCGCACCTTCTCCTAATTTCCACACTCCGAATTCTCTGCATAATATTTACACCACACATTGCCCTTAGACATGACATCACTGCCTCCAGCCACCTCCTCGCTGCAGCATTTACAACCCAAGCTTCACACCCATAAAAAAGTGTTGGTACCACCATACTAAATATTAGATAAGTTTGGATATATTTGACTGCTGTGAGGTGTGTATTTTCCAGTGTGCATACAATATTTTTTTTTTTAAGTTTCGTGTTTAAAAGATTAAATATGCTTTATTTCAGAGCAGAGGTGGATTATTCTCACAGTATAATCGATAGGTCCTAAACACAGCAAGCTACCTAGACACTTAAATACTGCCATAGATAATTATATGGTGTGACCTAGAGATGTATCGGATGCGAAAATTTAGATATCCGCGGATGCGGTGTATGAGGATGTCTTACTTATTTTGCGAATGCGGATAACTGTTTACAGTAATATGCGGATGCGGATGTAAGAAATTGTGCGGATGTTCCGTGGATGCGGATGCGGATACCTGATACATCTGTACAAGTAGGCAGTACTAGGCACTGGTGGAGATGTGTCGGATGAGAAAAATATCCGCAGATGCGAATGTGTATGAGGTCTTACTTATTTTACTGACGTCGATATCTCTTTACATTGAAATGCGAATGCAGATGTCAGAAATTGTGCGGATGTTCTGCGGATGCAGATATCCGATACATCACTAGACTGTAGCCTAACTTGAGACGCCTCTGAGAGTGAAGGCTGTTACTGAAGCCTCAGTCTTTCTGCCTTCGCTAGTGACAGCTGCCTTCACTAGTGACAGCTGCCTCCACCAGTGACAGCTGCTTCCACCTGTGGCTGACAGCTGCCTCCACCAGTGACAGCTGCCTCCACCAGTAACTGACAGCTACCTCCACCAGTGACTGACAGCTGCCTCCACCAGTGACAGCTGCCTCCACCAGTAACTGACAGCTACCTCCACCAGTGACTGACAGCTGCCTACACCAGTGACAGCTGCCTCCACCAGTAACTGACAGCTACCTCCACCAGTGACTGACAGCTGCCTCCACCAGTGACAGCTACCTCCACCAGTGACTGACAGCTGCCTACACCAGTGACAGCTGCCTCCAACAGTAACTGACAGCTACCTCCACCATTGACTGACAGCTGCCTCCACCAGTGACAGCTACCTCCACCAGTGACTGACAGCTGCCTCCACCAGTGACAGCTACCTCCACCAGTGACTGACAGCTGCCTACACCAGTGACAGCTGCCTCCAACAGTAACTGACAGCTACCTCCACCAGTGACTGACAGCTGCCTCCACCAGTGACAGCTACCTCCACCAGTGACTGACAGCTGCCTCCACCAGTGACAGCTACCTCCACCAGTGACTGACAGCTGCCTCCACCAGTGACAGCTACCTCCACCAGTGACTGACAGCTGCCTCCACCAGTGACAGCTACCTCCACCAGTGACTGACAGCTGCCTACACCAGTGACAGCTGCCTCCAACAGTAACTGACAGCTACCTCCACCAGTGACTGACAGCTGCCTCCACCAGTGACAGCTACCTCCACCAGTGACTGACAGCTGCCTCCACCAGTGACAGCTACCTCCACCAGTGACTGACAGCTGCCTACACCAGTGACAGCTGCCTCCAACAGTAACTGACAGCTACCTCCACCAGTGACTGACAGCTGCCTCCACCAGTGACAGCTACCTCCACCAGTGACTGACAGCTGCCTCCACCAGTGACAGCTACCTCCACCAGTGACTGACAGCTGCCTCCACCAGTGACAGCTGCTTCCACCTGTGGCTGACAGCTGCCTCCACCAGTGACAGCTGCCTCCACCAGTGACAGCTGCCTCCACCAGTGGCTGACAGCTGCCTCCACCAGTAACTGACAGCTACCTCCACCAGTGACTGACAGCTGCCTCCCCATCGGTAAACTGGATGTAAATAAATAAATATTTAAAATAATAAAACTTGGGCATAATTATGTTACCTGTGAACCTTGCCAAGATGGACATTTCAGAATATTTTTGTCTTTAATAAAATATTCTTGTCTGCTGTTGACGTAATCACTCTGCTTGCCTCTTCTAAAACATCTCTCCCTAACCTTAGTAAAATGTCTCTTTGCTTTTGATAAATTATCTATCACTACCTTCCATAAAATCTCTACCTACCTCTGACAGTTTACCTTTTCTTTGTACGTGATAAACTCTCATTTCCAATCTCTGATAATCTGTCTAGCTTTGATAATTTTTATCTGCCATTGATAATATATTTCTACTTCTCTCTAGTTTACTGTGATCAAATCAATGGGCTTGCCTTGGATAAGATTTCTCTGCCTGTCTTTTAGAAAATCTTTGCCTGCTTTTTAATATATCTCTGCCTGTGGCATTCTCTTATTTTTCTGCCTTTACTGCCTTTCCTATATACCATCTTCATGAGCATCCTGCGATGGCAGACAGCTAAGTTATTGTCTTATGTCTTTCATATAGCATTACTGTATTAGCGAATGCATTGGAGATACATAAATCTAATCTTTATATCCTACTTTCTCCTCCAGTTTCATAACCTTTGTTTACCGTCCCTTTCTCTTTAGACTTGCTTTGTATTCTTCTTACTTCGACGTCTCTGAGCGTCTCCGGAAGCGGCTGGTTACTGGTTTCCGGTAGGAAGGCCACCATGAGGCTGCCGATGATCCCTGAACACCCGAAGATAACACTGGCAGCCCACCACGCATACGGAGCCTGCAAAAGGAGAACAACGGCTTAGAGAATTGTTTGTTAACAAGACACTATGTACGATTTATGGTATATTATTGATAAAATATGTCATCCATCGGAATTCTAAAGAACCGATAAAGTCCCTGTTGGAAGATACGTCTTTTCAATAAAATACCCAATACGGCTTCTGGTATCCTAACATACTTGTCGATATACTCTACCATGGACGTGCAAGAGAATCGGTGTAGGTACTCAATATATATTCATTGTGGTCTTTATCCAGTAGGACATTTTATTTAACATGAGTAAAGATGTTATTGTATTTAGCGTGATTAGTTAGGGAAGTTTTATAAATATACAGAATCGTCAAAAAAAAAAAAAAAAATATTTCGGTAAGCCAGCGGAAGGCCTCGGTCAGATGACCAAATCTCCAAAGGCGGGTCATCATCTGACTAAGACCCGCGCCAGGAAACACTTGTCTTGTTTCCTGACGAACCTTACCTAACCTAATGTTGCAACCCCTGAATGGGTTACAATGTATATTATGTATATATATGTATATATATGTATATAATTATTACCTTTTCATATAATTTTATATTGCTTATATTTGCGATAATAGCTAAATCGTAAATATATTGCTTTATATTATTATTTGACTTAGTTATGTTGTTAGGTAGGATGTAAGACATATATTATGTGCTCATAGTTCAAGTCTTGATTGTCTAACTACTGTAATTATCGCTTGTGGCTCGTTACTCTGCCGGCTTCTCGTTGTTGCTGGGCAGCAACTGTCCACGGAGCTATCACGTGATAGAGGGGGGGTGTTCTCACCTCGCCTGAAGTATTCAGTCTGGTCTAGACTCGCTGGGTGGTTGGGCGTATTCTTGACAAGTGCCTAAATCTCCCTTATTGGCCCTTGTTGGAAGATCGTCTCTTGTCTCACTGTTGTTGGTTCTGTAGAACTCTGTTCACAGAACACTGTATAGACTTAGTGATTTTCGACGTTGTATTGAGGTTGTGTCACATAGACATTCTGAGCAACTCAGGTCCTGAGCTGTAGCTTCTGACCTAATTTGTACTGGTATCTGTGTATTGTCACAGTCGGGGATTTTCTTATGCTGAACTTAGATTCAGTAGTATGGGAGTTTTGTGACTTGTGGAGGATCTGCTGATGGTCCCTCCTTAGTGCCATTAAATTATCTCCTTGTTCCTGATTCTGTGTCGCAGTTGCTTGTTATATTGCTATTGGGCTTAGCATTCTTTTTATTGTTCAAGCAGACTGTTCTGATTGCCAGTCGGTCAAGAAGTTAGTTTATGTGAGGACTTTGTCAGTCACTTGTTTAAGTCTAGTCAAGTCGTGAGACATAGCGAACTACTTAGAGCACTTACACACATACATACAAATTTACTTGTACATATTAGTAATATCTTATTAAATGTTAATGTGACAGACGGTACTTAAGATTTAAAAATGTGATATGTGCTTTCAGCACAATTATACTGTACACGAGAGAAGGGATTATTCTTATTTTGTTTGAATTGATTAATTTAATTTAATTTGATAATATACCTCTAGTAGTAGGTTGGTAGACAGCAACCACCCAGGGAAGTACTACCGTCCTGCCAGATGACTGTGAAACAAAAACCTGTAACTGTTTTGCATGATGGTAGGATTGCTGGTTTCTTTTTCTGTCTCATAAACACGCTAGATAACAGGGATATCTTGCTACTCCTACTTACACTTTGGTCACACTTCACAGACACGCACATGCATATATATATATATACATACATCTAGGTTTTTCTCCTTTTTTCTAAATAGCTCTTGTTCTTTTTTATTTCTTCTATTGTCCATGGGGAAGTGGAAAAGAATCTTTCCTCCGTAAGCCATGCGTGTCGTATGAGGCGACTAAAATGCCGGGAGCAATGGGCTAGTAACCCCTTCTCCTGTATACATTTACTAAAAAAGAGAAGAAGAAAAACTTTATAAAACTGGGATGCTTAAATGTGCGTGGATGTAGTGCGGATGACAAGAAACAGATGATTGCTGATGTTATGAATGAAAAGAAGTTGGATGTCCTGGCTCTAAGCGAAACAAAGCTGAAGGGGGTAGGAGAGTTTCAGTGGGGGGAAATAAATGGGATTAAATCTGGAGTATCTGAGAGAGTTAGAGCAAAGGAAGGGGTAGCAGTAATGTTAAATGATCAGTTATGGAAGGAGAAAAGAGAATATGAATGTGTAAATTCAAGAATTATGTGGATTAAAGTAAAGGTTGGATGCGAGAAGTGAGTCATAATAAGCGTGTATGCACCTGGAGAAGAGAGGAATGCAGAGGAGAGAGAGAGATTTTGGGAGATGTTAAGTGAATGTATAGGAGCCTTTGAACCAAGTGAGAGAGTAATTGTGGTAGGGGACCTGAATGCTAAAGTAGGAGAAACTTTTAGAGAGGGTGTGGTAGGTAAGTTTGGGGTGCCAGGTGTAAATGATAATGGGAGCCCTTTGATTGAACTTTGTATAGAAAGGGGTTTAGTTATAGGTAATACATATTTTAAGAAAAAGAGGATAAATAAGTATACACGATATGATGTAGGGCGAAATGACAGTAGTTTGTTGGATTATGTATTGGTAGATAAGAGACTGTTGAGTAGACTTCAGGATGTACATGTTTATAGAGGGGCCACAGATATATCAGATCACTTTCTAGTTGTAGCTACACTGAGAGTAAAAGGTAATGGGATACAAGGAAAATAGAAGCATCAGGGAAGAGAGAGGTGAAGGTTTATAAACTAAAAGAGGAGGCAGTTAGGGTAAGATATAAACAGCTATTGGAGGATAGATGGGCTAATGAGAGCATAGGCAATGGGGTCGAAGAGGTATGGGGTAGGTTTAAAAATGTAGTGTTAGAGTGTTCAGCAGAAGTTTGTGGTTACAGGAAAGTGGGTGCAGGAGGAAGAGGAGCGATTGGTGGAATGATGATGTAAAGAGAGTAGTAAGGGAGAAAAAGTTAGCATATGAGAAGTTTTTTACAAAGTAGAAGTGATGCAAGGAGGAAGAGTATATGGAGAAAAAGAGAGAGGTTAAGAGAGTGGTGAAGCAATGTAAAAAGAGAGCAAATGAGAGAGTGGGTGAGATGTTATCAACAAATTTTGTTGAAAATAAGAAAAAGTTTTGGAGTGAGATTAACAAGTTAAGAAAGCCTAGAGAACAAATGGATTTGTCAGTTAAAAATAGGAGAGGAGAGTTATTAAATGGAGAGTTAGAGGTATTGGGAAGATGGAGGGAATATTTGAGGAATTGTTAAATGTTGATAAAGATAGGGAAGCTGTGATTTCGTGTATAGGGCAAGGAGGAATAACATCTTGTAGGAGTGAGGAAGAGCCAGTTGTGAGTGTGGGGGAAGTTCGTGAGGCAGTAGGTAAAATGAAAGGGGGTAAGGCAGCCGGGATTGATGGATAAAGATAGAAATGTTAAAAAGCAGGTGGGATATAGTTTTGGAGTGGTTGGTGCAATTATTTAATAAATGTATGGAAGAGGGTAAGGTACCTAGTGATTGGCAGAGAGCATGCATAGTTCCTTTGTATAAAGGCAAAGGGGATAAAAGAGAGTGCAAAAATTATAGGGGATAAGTCTGTTGAGTGTACCTGGTAAAGTGTATGGTAGAGTTATAATTGAAAGAATTAAGAGTAAGACGGAGAATAGGATAGCAGATGAACAAGGAGGCTTTAGGAAAGGTAGGGGTGTGTGGACCAGGTGTTTACAGTGAAACATATAAGTGAACAGTATTTAGATAAGGCTAAAGAGGTCTTTGTGGCATTTATGGATTTGGAAAAGGCGTATGACAGGGTGGATAGGGGGGCAATGTGGCAGATGTTGCAAGTGTATGGTGTAGGAGGTAGGTTACTGAAAGCAGTGAAGAGTTTTTACGAGGATAGTGAGGCTCAAGTTAGAGTATTAGGAAAGAGGGAAATTATTTCCCAGTAAAAGTAGGCCTTAGACAAGGATGTGTGATGTCACCGTGGTTGTTTAATATATTTATAGATGGGGTTGTAAGAGAAGTAAATGCGAGGGTCTTGGCAAGAGGCGTGGAGTTAAAAGATAAAGAATCACACATAAAGTGGGAGTTGTCACAGCTGCTCTTTGCTGATGACACTGTGCTTTTGGAGAATTCTGAAGAGAAGCTGCAGAGATTGGTGGATGAATTTGGTAGGGTGTGCAAAAGAAGAAAATTAAAGGTGAATACAGGAAAGAGTAAGGTTATGAGGATAACAAAAAGATTAGGTGATGAAAGATTGAATATCAGATTGGAGGGAGAGAGTATGGAGGAGGTGAACGTATTCAGATATTTGGGAGTGGACGTGTCAGCGGATGGGTCTATGAAAGATGAGGTGAATCATAGAATTGATGAGGGAAAAAGAGTGAGTGGTGCACTTAGGAGTCTGTGGAGACAAAGAACTTTGTCCTTAGAGGCAAAGAGGGGAATGTATGAGAGTATAGTTTTACCAACGCTCTTATATGGGTGTGAAGCGTGGTGGATGAATGTTGCAGCGAGGAGAAGGCTGGAGGCAGTGGAGATGTCATGTCTGAGGGCAATGTGTGGTGTGAATATAATGCAGAGAATTCGTAGTTTTGGAAGTTAGGAGGAGGTGCGGGATTACCAAAAACTGTTGTCCAGAGGGCTGAGGAAGGGTTGTTGAGGTGGTTCGGACATGTAGAGAGAATGGAGCGAAACAGAATGACTTCAAGAGTGTATCAGTCTGTAGTGGAAGGAAGGCGGGGTAGGGGTCGGCCTAGGAAGGGTTGGCGGGAGGGGGTAAAGGAGGTTTTGTGTGCGAGGGGCTTGGACTTCCAGCAGGCATGCGTGAGCGTGTTTGATAGGAGTGAATGGAGACAAATGGTTTTTAATACTTGACGTGCTGTTGGAGTGTGAGCAAAGTAACATTTATGAAGGGATTCAGGGAAACCGGCAGGCCGGACTTGAGTCCTGGAGATGGGAAGTACAGTGCCTGCACTCTGAAGGAGGGGTGTTAATGTTGCAGTTTAAAAACTGTAGTGTAAAGCACCCTTCTGGCAAGACAGTGATGGAGTGAATGATGGTGAAAGTTTTTCTTTTTCGGGCCACCCTGCCTTGGTGGGAATCGGCCAGTGTGATAATAAAATAAAAACCTCTAGACTATGATTAATAAATTTATTAAATTTTAATTTCTCTAGTTAGTAGCCTACCAGTTGTAATCCTGAAGCACTATTGAATCATACTGAATTCTAAGGGATAGTTGGACAAGGATACTGACTAACTGTTACGAAAACCCAGTAACAGGCTGGATGCTAGAAGGGCAGTCCTTTCTAGAATTCACTGGAGATCTCTAAGCTTTTTAGAATCGCGTTTTTTGTAACACCTAATAATAGTACAAATATATTGATTTAGTAGAGAAAAATATTATGAACTACAGTATGGTTATTAGGTTTCAGAGGTTGTATGGATTTTTTCTTTATTCAACTTTTCACTTTTATTTCGCTCATTACTCGAGAATGCCTTGTCAGACTGGTTCCTAATTCGTACTGCCTGCGTACAGTAACAAGGACCACATTCTTGGAACAATAAATAGGTGCAGGCGCCCTATGACTGAAGTTGCTGAACCCATTCCCAGCATCCTGGAATGACTGATAACTTCCACAAGCCTCAGTGGTGGAGCTTCAAACATTCACAACAGGAGCCTCGTAATTCAACGACGGCGAAGACTGAAATTCCAATGCAAATTTGCCCATTTTAAATGCAAAATAGTGTTGTAATAAAGTTGGTAGAATTACCGACAATATGTAAAGTAAAAGGACACAAGTGCAACTAATGTGACATTTATTGTGGCAACGTTTCGCTCTCCAGGAGCTTTATCAAGCCATTACAAACAATACATGGACACAGAGGGTATATAAAGGCTCAGAGTGAGGTGTAATACTAGTGAGGTACCATTTCGATGTTCACTAGTGGTAGTAGTAGTAGTAGTAGTAGTGGTAGTGACAAAAGTAATACAATATGGTAGAGCAATTAATTCGTACATGAGTAAAAGGATATAAAAGCTATTACTTGGGTAACATAAAAATAGGTTGGACAAATATAGAGTGGAATGAGGCAGCTTTTTTCAGTGTTCACTCTCTGTGCTTTGTGTAGTATAACAGGAGAGACTATGTGATGGCAGGGTTTACTGTTTTCAGGAGGATTCTTGCTAAGACTTCGGAGATGGTGAAGCTGCCGTTGTTTTGTATAATTGTATTCGAAACAGCGATCAGTGCTGATTCGAGGCACTTGCGTCTGCGGAAATTAGTTTCTTTGATCACTAATTGGGCGTCTCTGAATTTCATGAGATGATTGGTGGAATTTCGGTGTTGTACACAGGCGTTGTTCAACTTATCGTTCCTACATGCGTAAATGTGTTCATTGAGGCGGGTGTCGAGGTTTCTGGCTGTTTCACCTACGTAAATCTTGTCACAGCCTCCACAGGGTATAGTGTAAACTCCTGCATTGACTGGTTCGTGGTGTTTGGGATTTTGTCCTGGTTATTTTCTTTATTGAAGGCTAGAACGATGGGGACTCTGGTGTTTTCTTTGAAAGTCTTTTTAGACGTTCACAACCTGGGTGTTGGGAAAATTATAACTTTGCGGGGGTGGGGGTTTATTCGGGAAATTTATGATCTGAAAGCCCTTTTCTGCAGTCTTTGATGAAAAAGGGGGGAAAAATAACTCAGTGAATGTTTGGGAATGTATGTACACTCCTCGTCAAGAAAATCAGGGCTCAAATTTGGTATGCCTTTGGAAAAACCCGATGATGATGCCCCTTTGGTCTTTGGGATCTTTACTGGGAAAGAAATGTGTAATCATTTTTTATGGTTTTGGGCCGATAAACTTTAAATCTTAGGTTTTTGTCTACTTTGTGAAAGAGGACGTCGAGGGGAAAAGGGGGCTTTCATTGGACTCTTCTTCTAGTGTAAACGGGTCGCCGGTTCAACTGCGTTGAGCATTGCCTGAAGATCCCCTACATCAAAACGTTTTTGGAGTTATTACGAGGATATCGTCCACGTAACGTAACCAAGGACGCTTAAAGGGATGATTTTTGGCAAAGGGGTTCGGACCGGGTTTTCCATTAAAGTTGGCTAGGACGGCATTTAGGGGGACCCCCATTCCCATCCGAGGTTTTTGTAAGCTTGTTTTGAAAGAAAAACAGTTAAATTAACCAGATTAAATTTAAGTCAACAAAATTCCCCGGGGGAGGTAGAGGTTTAAAGGGTCCTGTTTGACTTTACTCGTAAAACCCTCGATGGCTTTTTTGGTGGGTATTTTTGTGAAGAGGAATCACACCAAACTGCTTATTCTTTTTACGGAGGGAGGGGACGGATGGGGTTGAGAAGGCACCTGAGTTTTAAGATAGGGGGCGATTTTTCCTCACGCCCATTCACAAAGAGAAAACAACCTAAATTTCAAGTTTATCGAAACCCACCAATAAAAATGATCTCAACACTTCTTTTCCAGTAAAGAACCAAGACCAAAAGAGGATCATCAGGGGTTTTTTTCCTAAGACATACCAAATTTTGTATCCTGATTTTCTTGACGAATGTACATACTTCACCAAACTTCACTGGTTACTTTTTCCTTCCTTTTTCATCAAAGACTGCAAAAAAGAGCCTTCAGAAACATAAAATTTTCCCCGATCAACCCACTCCCCGCAAAGTTTTAAATTTTTCCCAACAGCCCGGGTTCACAGAACGTCTCAAAAGACTTTCACTATTAAAACCAGAGTCGCCATCGCTTCAGCACTTCAATAAAAAATAACCAGGGCAAAACCAAGCACCACGAACTAGTCAAGCAGGATTTACACATACCCTGTGGGGCGTGACAAATTTCGTAGGTGAAACAGCCAGAAACCTCGACACCCGCCCAATGAAAACATTTACGCCCTGTAGGAACATAACTTTTAAAAACGCCTGTGTACAACACCGAAATTTCCCCCATTAACTCATGAAATTCAGAACCCCCAATTAGTGATCAAAGAAACTAATTTCCGCAACGCAATCCTCGAAACAGCACTGCGCGTTTCAATACAAATTTAAAAAAAACAACGGCACTCACCTTCCGAAATCTTAGCAAGAATCCCCCTAAAACATAAACCCTGCCCCACTAGTCTCTCCTTTATCTACACAAAGCACGAGAGGGAAAACTGAAAAAAGCGCCTCATTCCCCCTCTATATTTGTCCAACCTATTTTTATGTTACCCAAATAATAGCTTTTATATCCTTTTTCCCCAAAAAATTAATTGCTCTCCATATTTAATTTTTTTTCAAATACCCCACACTACTATACTACTACCACTAGTGAAAACGAAATGGTACCTCACTATTTACCCTCACTCTGACCCTTTTAAAACCCCTGTGTCCATTTTTGTTTGTATGGCTGATAAAGCCCTGGAAGCGAAACGTTGCCACAATAAATTTCACATTAGTTGCACTTGTGTCCTTTTACTTTACAAAATAGTGTTGAAATTTTCATTCCTGTTATATCACGTTAAAGAAATTTCAGTTTACCTATTTTGAAGGGCTTTATTATTTAATGGCTGATGCATCTTAGTGCCAGGACAGTACCTATTAAGTACAGCAAATTTGTCAATATGATAAAATTGCTAAAAAAAAATGGAAAGTTGGCTTCCGATCAATTGCCTTTCTGGTGAGCTTCAAACGTTGTTGAAAGCTTCCTTTCCAAACTGTGGGTATTTGTGAACGTGTGTTTATTTATATTAATCATATTACCACCTAAATATTTTTAATTTGTCTTACACCCACGTTTGACCCCAGGCAACAGCGAAGCTTTGAACTCGAAAACCCATATGAAGAGCATTGTCACCCGAACACATTATGCTTGATAATATACTTACTACCTCTGAATATGACGCACCAATCACTACTATACATATATATTTTGAATATTCCAGTAATACAAACATAATGGCAATCAATGATACTTACAATTACAGAGGTAACCAGTGGTGCTTACACCTAAAGAGTTAATTTTACTCATAATCAATGTAACTAATGATATACCTAGAGAGGCAATTACTAGCACTTACAACAAGAGAAGTAACCATTGGTACTTACAACAAGAGTAGTCACTAGTGGAGCACACATGAAGCCAATGCTACCCATCATGTTGACAAATGCGAAGCCTCTGGTGCGGGCCTCTGTGGGAAACAGCTCTGGTGCATACACATAATTCACCTGCAAAATTCAAATCAGTTACACATTTCACCGATCGGGTAGTTCAAACTCATGGCAAGCCAGTGCTAAAACTAGCAGGTCAGCAGGACTGACTGACTTGCTGGAAGTTCAAACCCTCCGTTCTTTGAGATACACACACTCGTGTTATTGCGTTTTCACGAGTCAATTACAGAATGTTACCTAATTTTGTCTACCGGAAATGCAAAATTGTGAGTTAATAAGTTAGGATCGTGTAGTTATTTAGGAGCGACGAGTGTCATGAGAAGGAGACCTACTCTCATGATGTCAGCGCGACCAGTTAAAATGTTTATGCATGAATATTTACCTCCTTGTAGCTCACACTAGTCATGGTTGTTTGATTAAGTCCGAGCTCGCAGCCTCGTCTCTTATGACAAACGGTCACATTCCCCACCTGGTCTCATGGGCCCTATCACACCTGTTCTTTAAAGTTATATGTGTCCTCTGCTTCTGCCACTTTCTCATGCAGAGCGTTTCACTTTTTAAGTCCTCCACATCTTCCACCTTTCTCTGCATCGGACTGAAGAAGCCAATGGCTGGCGAAACGTTTCCAGAATAAAAAATACCCGAATGTTGCACAAGTGTCTAATTTATTAACTTGTTAACTACCCTCAGACTGAAGCAATAATTTCTGACATGCCTGTGGCTCATTTGCAGCTTTGACTATCGTCTATGTACCATTGTTTCCGGCCCTATTAGGTTCTCTAAGTACCTTGCACGTCATAATCATGTCTCATAGGTTTTTCTTTCTTCCAATTCCTAAGCCACTAATGTTTCAGTCTTTTTTTTTTACGTAGCATGATCAAGAAGTTACTTTAAGCACTTACTCCAAGACTACGTGTTAGGAAAAAGATTCCCACATTATTAATTTAAAGACACCAGACTATATACACTGCTAAGAAGAGGACTGCATTGTAATGTTTACCATCGTATTAAGTCACACTTTCTGAAAGACAGACAGCAACGAAACACGTAAAAAGACAGACAAACAGAGCATGCATGTGTTAAAACTACGTTTCGCTCATGGAGAATTTCATCAAGCTCAAAAGTTACTAAGTAATTTGATAAATCTCTCACTGAGTGAAATGTTAATTTAATTAAATAATGTCTTGCTTTATCTACTTCTCTTTTATTTAGTTACTCGTTCTGCTTTTTCCAAGGAAACTACATCTAAACAAACACAGTAGTCCAACAGATGTGCACAAAAACGTCAGCAGATAGTTAAATCATCCAGACTTTACTAGTCAAGGAGAGTATTATACGAGGAAAATTCTGTACAAGAGTGACAACTAATATTTGATATCACAATTTCCTTAATTAGAAAAGTGCATAAAAACATCAGACCGCCAGGGGGGACTTCATTAAACTAATGTAATTCTGCAGTAAATTCATATTAATATCAGGTTCTAGGAAGAGAAAATCTGGTGGAATCAGGTAAACAACGTGAAAATAAGCTCTGGTATAATATAGTATGTAAAGACTCACCCGCAGAAACTTGATTAAATTATATAACAAAGAGAAACCTTAGAATAAATAAGTCAGCATTAAAAAAAAACTCTTGTTAAGAGAATACACATTAGTCACAAATGAAATTTTCACTACAAATAAGAAAGTCAATTTTAACTGCAATGTTTTATATAGAGTTTCTCTTTTTCACGGTTGAACTCAGTTCAAAGCCTAGCCTTATCTATTGTATACTAACACTCCACCACCACCATCAACAGGCTTGCACCTAGGTACCTACTTACCGCTCTGCGAATACGGGAAATAGGTGTAAAGAAATATTAGCCCATACGAGTTGCCTTACCTGGGACTCAGGTACCTTGGGTTGACCAGAGTATTCTACCACTGAGCTACAAATCACCTTGTTGCGGTTTATATTATTACTAATACGACCTCAGTTCATGATGATGGTCAACACTGAAGACCAGGCTGACGACAAACTCACTTAATTAATATTAACTACTTAATAATAAACGTAAAATTTTCATAGTAAAGGCAAAACCTACCCCCATTACCCTAGTTTGAAGTCTTAGAGACTATTATTTTTAAATTCCTTCTTTTCCTTCAACTTTCATAGAATTCGTGATAGATATATTTTGAAATTTTTATGAAATTTACCTTTTTTTTTTATAAAGGTTATTAACGGTTTGTTGCCAGCTGTAAAATTTTAAGAAAGTTCGTCCTTTAAAATGCTCTTGACATTCTGAGTAGTACCTACTTAAAATGTCTCAACATCAAGAGTATTTTGAAGGACGAACTTACTTAAAATGTTACAGATGGCATTAATAAAACATTGTAAAGAAAGAACTTACCTGGAATGCTCCCGCTACCATCAGAAATCCTGCCATCACTAGGATCCACTTGATCCAGTAATAATCTGCAACGTTAAAAAAAATCATTGTATCTGATTTATTTACCTAAATATGTATGTTTGGTCACAGTAGCGCAGACTAATTTTTTATCATCTCTCAAAAAATCATTATGGAAAATAAGTGGGGGAGTTAACTACTTTTTGTTACACTTACTCACCGACAAATACAGAGATCACCAAAGGTAAAAAAAAAATCAAAGTAGATTTAGGAATGATGGCGTATATTTAAAAAATATTATAAGAATACGAGACGAGAACAAAAAAATCAATCCTTCAGCAAGCCTACGTATGTGTGCATAAAATCGTGTGTTAGTAGTAGAGGCCTGAGCTTGCTACCATCTGCAGCTCATAAGGCTGCCATCCCCACGAGCCCCTTTGAGGCGGGGTAGATGGCAGACCAGAGGCCTAGCTTCTCCCTACGAGCCCCGTGAGGGCGGGGAATGTGGCTAGGCCTGGGGACAGTTGGTCCCAAAGATGAGGAGGTACTTGTGCCTCCTCCCATGGGAGACTTAGGTCTCAGTCACTCCCTAAAGAGGGAGCCAAGGCCGGGCCACCACTTGGAAAAGGCCCGGGCCGGGAGAATACCGGCGAATATTTAATAATAATAATAATAATAAAATCCTGTGGTGAAAATATTATGTGATATCGAGAAGTTATTGGAAAAAAATAGATACAAAAAGCAAACACTAGGACATCTTATTAGAAACTCTTCTATCTTGTGATCGTCTCTCCAAATGTGTATAGTATTAACTGGCTAGGTAAAGCTGTAATCGAGCCTATCATAATATATAAAATTAAACATCACTTAGCCTAAATAGTGTATTATAAAAAGAAATGTGAGCATTGAAAAGAGCTGGAGGATAATTCCAGTGTCTGAGACAGATAATTAACTAATCAAAACTCGAGGACTGGCTGCACCTTTATTTTCACTAGTCACAAGTCTGACTTATTGCATAACATCTCATAAACTCAATATATTACTTTGTTGTGTCATTAGTAAAGCATTTGCGTATAAAGTATGTTGTATAAACTGTAGTGTTGAAAATAAAGATAAAATTACATGACGAAATAAGTGATGCAAGTGAAAATTAATTAAAACAGTAAAGGAAATGGTGAATTGTAATATGAGGACACGACTGGAGAGTGAGAGACAGCGGTCGTGGTACGTATCTGCACAACATCTGTCCCGCTCGTTACCCAAAGAAATGTTCGAGAACACGCATCAATGATGTGACACGCTGTTCACATTGTTTTAAAGGGATCTACTGACTGGACTACAATATGCAGATTTACCGAGAACAACATGAAGAGAAAAAGCCAGTTCCCAGACACTCAGGAAACACAAAGCCTGATTGATAACTTCTCGTCACGGTAATGTATCACATATCTTAGTGTCTGTTAATACAGTCAAGCACGGCTTTACGACGGGAATACGTTCTGAGAAATGCGTCGTTAGACGATTTTAATGCGTCGTTAGGCGATTTCGTCGTTGTGCGAACGTCACAGATCTGGAGTTTATCTGGAATTTCTGGAGAGAGTTCCGGGGGTCAACGCCCCCGCGGCCCGGTCTGTGACCAGGCCTCCTTACGTCAGTGTCCCAGGATGCGACCCACACCAGTCGACTAACACCCAGGTACCCATTTTACTGATGGGGAACATAGACAACAGGTGGAAAGAAACACGTCCAATGTTTCTACTCTGGCTGGGAATCGAACCCAGGCCCTCACCGTGTGAAGCGAGAGCGTTAACCACTACACACCTAAGTTATATGTTTTCTTTTTTTATCATAGATTTGCTTGTAAGCAGATAATGCACTTCAGGTCCCTATCATATATGCATGACTATGCAAATATGATAGGGACCTGAAAGAAAGTGTAGGTTACGAGGCGATAACACATACAAATCCAAGTAATCAGTTGATTTTTGTTCCGATGAATTTAGGACTTTTCTCGCCACGTAAACCTGAAATATTATACCAGTTTTATACATTCCAACAAACTCTTTCCTGAGATAATAGTAATTAGCTGGGAGTTAGTGAACAAGAATAGGGGAAAGTCTGATCATTAACGAAGCTTGTGTGCCCAGGCCAATTTAGGACAAGTGGAAGGACACTTGACAAGCTTTGAAATTTATATTAGTATAAATTATGTTTTCCCAAATAAATGTCTGTTTAGTAATTTAGCATATAACCACTTCCCAAGGAATTTGTAAGTTACTTTACTTGCCAATTTCAAAGAGGAAAATTTAGATTATTTCTGTTGATTAATAAGGGAACGGTTAGCTTTAAAATCTTGCTACTGAAGGAACTAGTATATCGTGTAACCCACATACGTCCTGTGGACGGGACCGCATTTACACATGGAAACCAGGATTCCATTTAGGGATATACTTCATACAAACTGTCATTAATTTATCTAGTGCAAAAAAAATTTATGACACTCAAAATTGTTGGTGCATTATTTTTCACTAGTAAAATAATTGAAAATGTAATAGTCTTTATAGTGAATAGTTACAACAAACATCAGAACCTTAGATCTGACGAAAGGCATTAACACAAATTAAAATTAATTATAAGAAATGTGTCAAAAGACATCAAAAACTTACCCATTGGTACTAAAAGGTCGAGTAACAGTAAGATTCCTCCCACACACAGCCCAAGACCTACAATGGTGCGGCGGCCTAGGTAGAGAGTGAGTGGCGTGGTCAGGAGAACAGCTGTGCCATCCATTATGCCAGTAAGTGCAACGTAGAGAAACGGGTCGGTGCTAAAAGAGAGAGTCTTTCTTCACAATTATATC